GCCCCCCTGCCTCCCAGAGCTGTGCCAGCCCCCCTCCAGCCTCCTGGGGGGTGACACATTTATCCCACTCAGCTGTGGCTGGAGTTCTGGCCCCTTGTGCTGGGGGGGTCTCCTTGCCCTCCTGTGGCACCCCCTGGATGTCCCTGGTGGTCTCAGGGGTGGTCTCAGGGGTGCTGTGTGCTCAGGGGTGCTGTGGGGGCCCACAGGTGCCCGACCTGCCCGTGCTCAGCCTGCCCAAGGAGCCCCTCAAGGCTCACGGGCGGCAGGAGCCCAGCGCCCGCCCGCCCTTCATCCACCACCGCGAGTCCCTGTGGAAGCGCTGCCTCAGCGCCTGGTGAGTCCTGTCCCCCCCCCCCACACAAAAGTGCCCCCCAAAGTGCCAGGTCTGCCCCTCGGAAGCGGGCAGGGGGTGCTGAAGGGGCTCTGACCCCGCTGTGGCCGCAGGCGCGACGCGGGGCTCTGCGGGGTGCTCCGGGAGGTGGCCAGCGCCGAGGAGGAGGGTGAGTTGTGGCTGCTCCTGGAGATTTCCCGGGATCTCTGGGTCTGTTCCCATTGTGCTGCCCCCACCCCTGCCCCCCGTGGTGCGGGTGGGCGCAGCTGAGGGTGCTTTGCCCCCCCAGGGCTGCGATGGCTGAGGACGGGCTCGAGCCACGTGCTGGCCGTGTGCCGCTGGCTCTCCTCGCTCCACGGATCCCTGTTCCCACACCTCTCCGTGAGTCCTTCCAGGCCTGATCCCTGGGGCTGGGGGAGGCTGGCTGGGGTGGTGGGTGGTCCCTTCCCTGCTGAAAACCCACCAAAACGCTCCTCCCGGCAATGCCCAGCTCCAAACGCTGCTCCTTCCCCCACCAAAGGGAGGGGAATGCTGCCCTAACGCCTTGCCAGGGCCCAAAGTGCTCCAAGAGGGGCCAAAATCCAGGTAGGGGAAGAGGAAAGAAGGGATGGGCACTGGGGTCCTCGCTGCCAGCTCAGTGTTCTGCTCTCCCCTGCAGCTGACCAGTGAGGACATGATTGCAGCCTTCTCCCAGGCCGTGGACTGGTGAGTCCTGTGTGTCCCCAAAGCACCATCTCTGGGGTCTGTGACACCCCCAGAGCTGGGAGAGGGGCAGGGGTACAAGGACAGGAGGGCCCTGTTTGGGTGGGCACGTTAAGGGCAAGTATTTCCCTGCTGGCTCTGGCTGCCCTGGTTTGTGCCCGATGGTCAGAGAGAGGCAAAGCCTCTGATGTGCTGAAATCAGGGTTACACGACATCAGAGACTGCAAAATTCCTCCCAGTTCCCACCCCAGACTGTGGGAACCAGCCCCTCGGCAGAGCCCTGGGAATAATTGCCAGGAATGGGGGAATTTTCCAAGAAAACAGTCCCATCCAGAAGCGAAAAGGGAGTTTTATTTCACTGGGTGCTCTGGGAAGGGCCTTTGCCAGCCTGGGGGGTGCTGGGTGGTGCCAGCACCTCTGCTTGGAGCCTCACCCTACCCTCTCTCTGCCTCCAGGGCTGGATGCCCCGTGCGGGCCTTTGCCTGGCACCCCCACACCAACAAGTTTGCTGTGGCACTTCTGGACGATTCCATCCGGGTCTACAACTCCAACAGGTGGGGCTGGAGCTGCCGCTGCCTCCTGGGATTCGGGGTGCCCTGGTCCTGCTGCCACACTGTGGCTGCCACAAGCCACGGTGCCCTGGGCTTTCCTGCCCACGTGGGCTCACGTTCAGCCCCCCCTGCTCCTTTCCCACCCCTCTTCCTGGAGCACGATCCTGACCGAAGCCTTGGCTTTCCTTTCCCTCCCTGCTCCGTAGCTCTGGGGGCATCCTGGGGGTCCCACAGCCCAAGGGGGGTCCCACAGCCCAAGGGGGCACAGGCAGAGCAATGTTTGGAGCGTCGTTGAGTCTCCTCTCTCCCCCAGGTCTCCCTGCTCCCCCAGGGAATGCCAATCCCTCCTCAGGAGAAGACTGTGCCGGCTGGTCCTGCGGCCCCCTCCGCGCTGCCCTGCTCCAGCCCTCTCTCCCAGCTGGGATTTCTGGCCAGCCCAGGCCCCCTCCTGCCCCAGGGCTGGGCTGGGGGCAGCTCAGGCCAATTGCACCAGGTGTGCTCTGGCTCACTCCGGTGTCACCTGGCTGGGAATTCCTGTCCCCCATTGTCACCTGGCTGGGAATTCCTGTCCCCCCACNCTGTGGCTGCCACAAGCCACGGTGCCCTGGGCTTTCCTGCCCACGTGGGCTCACGTTCAGCCCCCCCTGCTCCTTTCCCACCCCTCTTCCTGGAGCACGATCCTGACCGAAGCCTTGGCTTTCCTTTCCCTCCCTGCTCCGTAGCTCTGGGGGCATCCTGGGGGTCCCACAGCCCAAGGGGGGTCCCACAGCCCAAGGGGGCACAGGCAGAGCAATGTTTGGAGCGTCGTTGAGTCTCCTCTCTCCCCCAGGTCTCCCTGCTCCCCCAGGGAATGCCAATCCCTCCTCAGGAGAAGACTGTGCCGGCTGGTCCTGCGGCCCCCTCCGCGCTGCCCTGCTCCAGCCCTCTCTCCCAGCTGGGATTTCTGGCCAGCCCAGGCCCCCTCCTGCCCCAGGGCTGGGCTGGGGGCAGCTCAGGCCAATTGCACCAGGTGTGCTCTGGCTCACTCCGGTGTCACCTGGCTGGGAATTCCTGTCCCCCATTGTCACCTGGCTGGGAATTCCTGTCCCCCCACACCCCCCCCAGCCTGGGAAGCAGGGCACAGCAGGGCACACCCCCCCTTCCCACTCTGCTTTCCCCCTGCACTGGGCTCAGAGCTGGCAGAGGACACTGGGGCATGGCCCACACGCTCTTGGTCCCGTGTTTTGCCCTTGTCACATGTGTCCCCTCCCCGGCAGTGCCACCGTCCCCTCGCTGAAGCATCGCCTGCAGAGGAACGTGGCCTCCATGGCCTGGAAGCCCCTCTGTGCCTCCATCCTGGCCGTGGCCTGCCAGAGCTGTGTCCTGGTGTGGCACCTGGATCCCACCTCCCTCTCCACCAGGTGACAACCCCTGCACACCCCCCGTCCTGCCATCGGGACCCCCTTTGGGGTTGGCTTTGGGATAAAGCCAGGCAGGTGCCCGTCCTGCCAGCCTGTCCCAACCCTTCCTGGGGGTTTCTCTCTCTGTTCCAGACCGTCATCAGGCTGTGCCCAGGTTCTGTCCTACCCGGGGCACAGCCCTGTCACCAGCCTGGCCTGGGCACCCAGCGGGGAGCGGCTGCTCTCGGCGTCACCGGTCGACACAGCCATGCTGGTGAGGAGCCCTGAGCTGGCTGTGCCTCCCCGGGGGGATGTGGGGACCACAGGCACCCCAGAGGGTCACCCAGGGACAGCTGGGCTGGGCACAGGTGCTGTTCCCACAGAGGGTGGGTCAGGCAGCTCTGAATTTGAACTGGACCTGAAAGCATCGCTCCGTGTCCCCTCATCCAAACACACCCCCTCAACAAGTCGGCGTTCTGGTGTCACTGTTTGCCTTCCTTGTCCCGTCCTCCAGGTGTGGGACGTGTCCACTGAGAACTGTGTCCAGCTGCAGTGGTTTGGGGGTGGTGGTGTCACCTACTTGGCCTGGTCACCCGATGGCAGCAAGGTGCTGGCAGCCACCCCCTCGGCCGTGTTCCGGTGAGCGCCCCGCCTGCCCTGCTCCCCTCGCAGCCCTCGCCCTCCCTTCTGCCCCAAAACTGAGCAGATCTGGATCCTGAGTGTCTTCACTGCTCCCACTCCTGCTGGGGGGGCAAAGGGGCACGGGGGTGGGTGGGTGGGTCTGACCCTGTGGGCTCCTGGAGCAGCAGGATTGGGGCAGATCTCAGGAATTCACCCTGTTCTGTCTCCTGCAGGGTGTGGGAGGCTCAAATGTGGACGTGTGAGCGGTGGCCCACTATCAGAGGACGCTGCCAGGTAGGATGGATTCCTCAGGCAAGGAATCATTTAGGCTGGGAAAGCCCTCTGAGACCGTCGAGTCTCACGTCCCCAAGTGCCACATCCACAGGGCTTTTAAATCCCTCCAGGACTGGGGACTCCCACCCTGCCCTGGGCAGCTGTGCCAGGGCTGGACAGCCCTGGAAATTTTCCCAGTATCCAACCTGAACCTTCCCTGGTGCATCTTGAGGCTGTTTCCTCTTGTCCCATCCCTTGTTCTCTGGGAGCAGATCCTGACCCCTCCCTGGCTCCCCAGAGTTGTGAAGGTCCTCCCTGAGCCCCCTTTTCTCCAGGCTGAGCCCCCCCAGCTGCTCCTCACAAGTTCTCCAGCCCCTTCCCCAGCTCCATTCCCACCTCTGGACACACCCCAGCCCCTCAGTGTCTGTCTCGTAGCCCCAAACTGACCCCAGGATTTGAGGTGCAGACATCACCTCCAGGGGCCTCGGGGACACGTTGGGTGGGTTTTACCAAAAATCCCCCATTCCCAGCTGGCTCCAAAAGATCCCTGACCAGGGGAGGGGCCATCCACAAAGGCCTGAGCTGTCCCTGGACCCACTGGAGTCTCCCTGCAAACCCTTCCTGTGCCACAGACGGGGTGCTGGAGCCCGGACGGCAGCCGACTGCTCTTCACGGTGCTGGGGGAGTCCGTCATCTACTCCTTGTCCTTCTCCGAGTACCGGGGTGAGTCTGCCCGAGCTGGAGCTTCCCAAGGGCTGGGGTGGGGCCCAGGTGATCCCTCACTTCTGGCTGAGGGACCTGGGACATGCAGGGGGGTGTCTTGGGGGTCTCCCAGGGCACGGAATCCCTGGGGTTGGGTTTATCCCCCCTCATGTTGCCTCTCAGTCGTGTGGACACAAAGGGTTTTTGCAGGGGGGCGGGTCCAGGGCCAGCTCAGGGGTTTGTCAGCAGAGGGGCCAGTCCTGGGGGTTGCTGTCCCCGGTCCTCCATCCCAGACATGGGATACCAGCACGTTGCTCTGAGAAATGGATAAATTATGGGAAATCTGGGCAATTCAGTGGGATTTATGGAGCGTTCCCTTCAGGAGATGTCGCGACGGAAAGCTCTAGACACCTCAATGTGAGAATCCAGGAACTTCGTTTATTGAAGATTGACAACAGCTTAATATACACTC